TTTAAAATATCACGTTAGAAGAAGCAGCTCAGATTCGTCAAATAAACGGGACAAAAACTTGGAATGAGGTTTGAGTTTGTGAAATTGATTCAGTTCAGCATCATTTTATTTCTCAGTTTGTTCCAGCGTCTCTCTGCTCTGCAGCCGGTTCGATGTCAGTGTGTCTCAACAGGAAGACAATGTTTCAAAATAAAAGCCTGCTGACTGATGAGCAGCAGGGCTCATGGCTGACTCAGCAAGGCCTTCCAGCATCTTGGGACTTTATATAACTTTGTCTGTTCTAACTCTTCACAACTGAATGTAAAGAAATGATTCTGATGCAGTAAATCTCCAAAGAACAAAATATTCCTCATCCTTCAATGTAACTGACAGAGTAAGCAAAAATGCGTCTCCTGGAGGGAATCCGCTCCTGACCGGCTCCAGCTCCAGTCAGGAGGGAGTTTTCTCCCTCCACAATGAGTCTGCTTACTCTGCCAGAGGACACAATGCTTGTGCTAAGAATGGTGATAATAAGGCAGGACGGAGTGACGAAGAGGAGGAAGAGGTTTAAGACGGAACAGATTACAGATAAACTGCGTCTAGATTTAGGAGAAAAGTCATCCACAGTTCACAGAACCAAAGGGAACACGACGCGTTCTGCTTCTGATGCACTTTATTCATAAAGCTACAACATTAAGACGCTTAACTGAATTATGTTGATGAAAAAGTAAAGAAGACAAAGAAACTGTTTGTGTTCAGATTAACAAAAATACCCTGGAATTACTGAGACTTTTCCTCTCAGCTGCCTGAACTGAATGGTGCGGTGTGCCATTAAGCAACATAAATACTTAGCTAAACATTTAGCTTCAAAGTAAATAGTCAAGCTAATATTTAGCTTTAAATAAACAAACTGAAGATTCTAAATGCTAAATTTAGTTTTAAGCTAAATAATTAGCTCAGTTCTACGTGGACTACCAAAATAAAAGCTGCATTTCCAAACATCTTTACAAGCTTCTTGTTTTCGAATGGCGTCTTTATCATCATTTCTTTTCCTCTTTTCTTGTCCAACATTTCAGCTTCAAACACAAAATGAGCTGTTTAGCTCCGAGCTAGCTAAATATTTAGCTTGCTAATTAAACATTTAGTTGGAAACTAACATTTATAAATTAATGAATAACATGGCGAGAAGATGACTCCTGTTTTTCTAATAGGCAGATTAACCCAACTTGTTGCTGTTAACTTTACAAAGGGAGGCAGCCGGAGTACCCAGAGAGAACGCACAGGGAGAACATGCAAAGGTTCGTTTTAATCCAGAGTCCAGCCTGGGATTCAAACCCAGAACCTTCATCCTGCAAAGCAGCAGAGCAATTTCTCCTGAGCTCTGATATCATATTTATTTTTGCTGCCAACATGTTTGCTTCTAGGAACGTAAACAGGCTTTGGGAATAAATCTGGCTGCCTTGGTTTGTTCTGCATAGCAAAATGTGTTACATGTGGTTTCATTCATTAAATCTGTTTATATTAAAGTTATTAGAAATGTTATTGCTTCAGCAGTAAAATAGAAAATATTCATCATATTTTCAGTGGAGACCACATTTCCTACAAATATCCTGCAATAAAATATTTCACATAAGAGCAACAAAAACCTTTCATGTTTAACAGGTCAGTTCAGACAAAAGATGTAAATAAAGTATCAAATATGACAAGAACATGATAAATCAGTAAAAAATGATCACAAAGTGAGACTTTTGTTTTTTTAAACTCGCTGTTGTGACTGAAGAACAACAAAAACAGAAAAAGATGAATGAGGTCATTCACCTGATGGAGTGGCAGGTGAGATCAGGGTTTGTGACATTATTAAATTGAATTTAAGTAATTTTTTTTACTTTACATTTCATTGGCTCCTGGCTGAATAATGCCTCCAGGAGCAGAATAGGAGTTATCTCCTCAGGCCAGTCCCTCTGGACTCTGATCTGCTCTGCAATATTCCAGTAGCTCCATTAAATAACTTCAATTACCGTCATTTCAATGACCTTGACAGAATGTAGAAAAAAATCAATAGAAGCGCCGCCCAAACCCTCTTTTCTCCTCCGATGACAAGCAGGTCGCTGCTCCATTTCTGGCTCTAATTCTGTGTTGATGAAGGATTACTGAGCTTCATCATGTTGTTCAACAGGAAATGGTTCCATAAAAGTGAAAGATCTTATTTATTTGATCTCCTCTGTGATAATTTCATCCATATATCAGCTCCTCTCAGTCCAAACGCTCCGTCTAACTCTGAGGTTATTTCCAGTTTCCCATTAAAATGTTTCTTTGTTGCTGCGTTTCTCTGACAAGGAGCCCAGACTGAAGCAATGTCACCCTGAACGGGAGTCTGACAGAGAGCCGTTCATAAAACATCTGAACATTTGAGAAAGCGTGAATTTAAATTATTTCATCACTGCGATGATAGATTTTAACAAAATTGTTCTGGCAGAGTTGTGCTTTGAACATAAAACCATGGAAACCAGCACAACGCAGACTTTCTCCAAAGTAAAGATATGAAAAATAAGAAGCGTGGTTCTGTTCAGCGGGTCGGGTTCTTCCTCTGATCGGAGGCTTCAGAGGAACCGGCACTGAAACCACATGATGTATTTAAATAACAAACTGGATCTTTAACGTTTTGTAGATTTTTCCCAGTTTAAAATTTGTCTTCATCTAATAAACAGAGTTTGTCTAACAGACCAAAGGTCAAAGGTGAGTTCAGAGAAAACAAACATGGCGGACGAGGCAGAAGCGATATTTAAAACCGACAGAAAGGCGTCTCAGCTGGAGCATCATGGGAGTTATCTTGTCTTGTGTGTTTCTGTCGCTTTCTGATTGGCTGATTGATTATCTGATCATCTTTAGAGATGATCAGCATAAAACTCTGTGAAGCAGGAATTACATAGTTGTGTGTTTTGTTTTACATTTTATTTCACCAAACACTAAAAACTGTATGGAAAGTGAAATATATCAAAAATCATCTCCTTTTACAGAAACAAAAATATGAAGCAGCAAGAAAAATAATTAAAGGTTCATATTTTTCACAGCATTTTGTAACAATTACATAATATAAATGTGTAATGATGTCAGTAAAACCACACAGAAATGAAACCAGATACTAAAGTTACCTGTAATAAAGTTACTGAAGTTTATTCAGATCTTGGTGTAATTTGTCCTATTTTGTGATCTTAACTTTTTCTCCCACAGTTTCTGCAGGTCTCATCTATAAACTCTAGTTCTATCTGCAGACCTTCAGCTGGATTAAATCAAAGTAAACCTGATGCCCAACATGTGTAAACCTGCTCTGTTAGAAACGTGGAAATCGATCTGTGACGTACGACGGCGTTTATGATGAAAGGCTTCCCGTGTGGGACGAAGAATTTTACATTTTTCTCTTCAACAGGAGCCGATGAAGGGCATCGAACTGGACAAATACGACTGTTCATTTCCACCAGAACTCTACAGCAGTTTTGATCAGCTGAAGGCTTTTTACTCATTTTTTACGTTTCTGATAGTAAATTATTACCGTCTACCTTTGAAGTATTAAATGCACGGCGGATTCTCTGAATCACTGCGACGTCTAATTTTAATGATATTGTGGAGGCAAAAGAAGAAAGTTCTGGAAAGCTGTTTAATCTGGGACGGGTTCTGGTCAAGGACGACAACGTTCTGTGCTTTATTACCAGAGCCCAATTAAATGCCACTCAAAGTCGCCGAGCGGTTTGTGTTTCACAGCCTCTGGTCCAAAGGAAACACATCCATTAAGAGGAAAAGCGAAAGTATCCAGATCTTTATGTCAGTGGAGGTTTGCCCAGCGCTCCCCGATATTTAACCAGCGGTAGGAGAACCGGCCCGACACCGAGCCCTGCGGAGCGCCACAGGTTGCCCTGCCATGTGATCCCTTAGTAAAGGGAACCAGAACCAGGATCCGTTTTTAAATGCTGATGGACTTCAGGTGGTTTTTGCTTCTCTTTTCTGATTTAGTTTTTTACATGTCACCTTCACTTTGATTGCAATTTTTTGGGAATTTTATGTCAGAATCTGCAAGGAAAATATATTAGAAGAAAAATATTGAAGTGTTCAATATTCTCTACCAACATTTAGAAAACTCTGAATTGATAGAAAAAGTGACACTGTGAACGAAAAGTGTTAATGAAAATCCTAAGTTGAATCGAAGAAAGTTTTGTTGGTCATTAATATTTATCAGTTTATTAGTTATTAGTTTATTTTATGGCTGAATGTACATGCATGTAAATGCTGCTGCTATCATGCACAGCTCTTGAAAAAACAGACTGTAGATTACAAAAAGGTTTTGATCTCATGAAGGTTATCATCTTCAGATCCACACATGAAAGAGGAGGATGAACTGAAACATGAACTTGGATTAAAATCCAGGCAGAAACTCAGGAAGATTCACCTGCTGGAGGAACCTGCAGCATTAATCTCATGTTGAATTGTTTCACCTGCAGTATTTTCAGTTGGAGTTAATTAGTTACAATGAAAACTATCTATTTATCATAATTACTTAACGTCTTACTGTTGGGATTGCAGAATTAATTCAAAATGCTTTGTTTTGCCACCTTCTCTTTAATTTGGAGTATAATTAGAGCTGCAACTGAAAAATAACTTTATGTAAATAAATACCAGCTAAATTTCCCTCTTTATGCTCCAGATTTGTTCTCCTGCAACAACAATTTACCAGAGCTAGAAAAGATAACTGGGACGTTAGTTTCCCTTGTGTTGCTCCGTCTGTGTTCCTGCTTCATGTGTGGAAATTCCGGCTTCGCCGAAATTTCTTGGGAAATTTAAATGGGAAAGTGCAGCTGACTTTCCATTTGCTATTCATCTGCCTGATGCACCTCATTTACACACAAAGTGACAAGTTTAGTTTCCCTTTTCATGAATAACTCGGGCCTTTCATAGAGGTTTCTAACTACAACACAAATATACAGATTCAATGTACGCTTATTCTTTCCTCCTAGTGTTGAAGATTAATTATATTTACAGATTTTAAGCACTGCAGACACACCTGCAGAAAACTCTGAGTGTTTTCTGAAAGGTCCGAATCTGTTCAGGTCATCTACAGTCAGTCCAGCTGAAATATGGAGAAAATCCATAATCAGCTGCAGCATTTCATAACTGTTACTCTGTGTAATCAAACAGGCATCAATCATGCAACAGCTTTATAATCTGCTATGTGTACATTCAGTTACTGATGGGTTTTCTTTGCATATTTGAAAATGTTTTCCTCTATTTTACTGAAATAATGTGAGCTGACCACATGATTTCTGTTTTGTGTCATTTAAAACAGTTGATTTTCAGAGGAGCTGCTGCAGGATCATCATGAGGAGGCTGAAAGCTGCTGGAGCAGAACTGGAGCGCGCATCGTTTCTTACCCTTTGTGATTGTAAGGTAGCTGTTGTGCCATCTGGCCTCTTTGTGCTTCAACCTTCAGGTTGGGAAGAAGTATTTGCTGGCGGCTCGCTCCTCTGAGGCGCCTCGTAGCCACGGGTCCTCCAAACAGGTGCAGCTGTCCTGGCAGGATGCCTGACAGTTAAGCTCTGATGTGGCGATACAAGAGGCCTCTCACTGCAGCGCCCTCCTTAAGTTTCTGCTCACGGCGCGCCGCGTGGAGCACATAACAAAATTCCATCGGAAAATGTTGCAATGACGTTTGGTTCTGAAATAACAGGAAACGCTTTTATCAGTTATGTAAGTAAAATCAGAGGGCTGCTGGCACACAGAACAACAGTTAAAACACTTCTGTTTCATTTTTTAACCAAAACTTTTCCAGTAATTAAGAACCTCAGCAACACGTCCCTCCAGCTACAGATTTTTCACTCCCGTTTTAAGCAACAGAGATGTCGTCAAGATGTTCCCTAAATGCATGAATGGCTTCAAACGTCTGGAGGAATGTAGAGTATCAGGAGAAAAACTGGACAAGCAGAGAAAAAACATGCAGATTTCACAAAAAACAGTCCACAGATAGGATTCAACCTGCAATTAAAAAGCAAAACTAAAAGTCCTTTTCTAATAGCAGTGATTCCATTGATGATATTAAAATGAAAAACCTGCAGGAACAAGATAATCAAAGCTGCACAAGTTGGAAAAATTAATTTAGACTGAAAAGAGATTCTTTGTTAAATAAAATATAACAACACATTTCCATGTTCTCTTTATGGAAAGTAAAGGAACTTATCTTCTAAAATGTGACAAACATCGTCTCTCCTGACCAACGTAATGAAGCTCAGGATAAATCCTTTCTATGACATTTAAAGTGAGAGCGACTAAATTTGACGATGATTCACAAGACATTTTTGCACTCAGACATTTATAGTTTTAGAGACCTGCTCCAGAAACTGGTTCAAATAAAAAAGCTGTGAAGTGACAGCTGTCGCATGATTTTTTGTGCACAGATGGTTCACTGCGGCTAAAAAAGTACTCAAGGTGCGGTTAAAAATCCATGATGTGTCAGCTCCAGCTTTTCACCCCTTCAGTTGGGAATAAAAAGTTAAGTTCAGGTTCTGCACTGAATTTGTCACTGGTGACATTTTCAGGTGTCGTTCCCAGTAAACAAACCAACAAGTCAGTGGAGGACCTGGTGAACTATTCAAAATCAAAGTTAGTTTGCAGCATTTTACAGCAAAAAGCCAGCACACACTTCTCACACACTCAGTAGATACTTTGAATAAATCGACGCATGGAGGAGCCAAAACTTTCTCCAAAAAAAAACTGAAGTTATTGTCTTTGGACCTAAAGAGGTTTAATCTGGAGTCATTACAGATAGAAACCAGGAAATCTGACCCGAACCTTCAGAGACACATAAAGACGATTATAAAGTCAGACTTCTATCAGCTGAAGAAATAATTTAAGAAATAACAACCTGCAGAAACTCATCCATGTGTTTCTCTTCAGTCACATGATGCTGCCACCACCAGGTTTCATGTGTGTTTTTGTTCTTTGACTTCACACCGTCAGACACGGCCTGTTTATGAGATTTCCTGTTATTCCAAAAGTCGGAATGAAATTTAACTCCATTTTCTAAGATGTAATCATACATAATTCATGATTTATGAAAAGGGGGTAATTTTCACATGGCATAATGCCTTTAATAAATCAAACCACCATGTGAAAACATTTTTTTCATACTTATAACGTTTTTCTCTGACACCAACATTAGCTTGATGTGAAACATTTAAATAAAACCAGAACAAATCTGGAAGTGGCAAACTGTAAGTCAGCGTAGCGGCTCTTTTAAATGACCTCCAGATTATTTGAACTAAAGCAATGCTTTATGTCCTGAAAGCAGGAACAGCCATTTTGGAATCCAGGATGAGGTTTTTTATTTCTAACATTTTAATTCTCCGTGGTGCCAAGCGCAGGTGAGCCTAACGAGCCGACACCCTGCCAAGTCACTGAAGGGAAGCAAAGAGAAGCAGTCTGCCATGACTGTTAGTGGAATCAATAAGAAGCTGTTTTCTGATGGAAAATATGTGTTGCTAGACTCAAAAAGTTTCCCCTCAGAGAAGACGACTTCTAAATTGGATCCATTTTCCTTTACCTTTAAAATTCAGGCCAGGATGAGTCCAAATGGAGACAGTCGGAGCGCAGAGGGACATTCCTCAAGCTGCTTTCCCTCTGGAACTAATTATTTGAGATGCAGTTTATTTTTCAAATGAACCCGTGGCATCTTCGCGCCTTTGCTGCGCAACAATCAATCAGACAAATCAAACATGTCGGCTGCAGAATCAAGTAGCTGCAGCTTCATTTCTCTAAATCAAAATGTTCTTGGTTCGTTCTGGAAATCTGTTGTGTTTTCATCTGAGGTTGAGGATAAACACTGCGAGCAATGCATTTTGTCCTTTGACAGAACTCCTAACATGTTTCTAAACGATAAAAGACACATTTTCAACATTTAGCACAATAAACCTGCCAAACATTTTCCACGTTGCTGTATTCCTGGTTTATAATTGGTTTATAATTGGTGTTAAAATGGAGCGGGTTCGGACCCGGATCAGACTGGAAGGTCCTTGAATTTTCACACACAGGATCACAGTTTGTTTTTTATCAAACTCAGAATCGATGCTGCTTTTAAAGGATGACCTCAGGTGTCTTTTTAAATGCTAACTGTATCAATAAAGGTGTTATGTGTGATTTGTGAAGCCTGAGCCAAGCTGCATACACATACACCCACATAATGGAGGCAGCGAGAGAAAATACATGGATTTATGCACTCAGCAGAGGAGGTGAGAAAAGAGAACACAAAGGAAATCAAAGTGCAAAAAGTGAACTAAAAAAAATCTAAAAATATCCAAACTGCTGAAAGCCTTTTCATCTGCTTTATGCAGTTTTCCCTGCATGAATAAAAAAAATCTTATTTTTCCCAGAATGCTGTAGGAAAGTTTTAAACTGAAATGCAAAGACAGGAAATTTGACTCCTGTTATATTGTTTTTTCATGACTGAACAGTTTTATTTACTTTAACACTTTTTTAATTGGAATGTATTAAAAAATCTGGATGTAATGTATATTTATTTTATGCGTTCCTAAAATGTAACTTTTAGGAGCACAGATGTTCATTTTTTTGTGCAAATTTTCCTTTTCAGATGAAATGAGATTCTAGTCAGTAAGACTTTTTTTCCTGTTTCTCCATCCATCCATTTTCTAACACCCTTGTCCCTTAGTGGGGTCAGGAGGTGCTGCTGCCTGTCCAGCTAACGTTCTGGGTGAGAGGCGGGGTCACCTGGACAGATCACCTGGACAAATCACCTGGACAGATCACCTGGACAAATCACCTGGACAGATCACCTGGACAGATCACCTGGACAGGTCACCTGGACAGATCACCTGGACAGATCACCTGGACAGGTCACCTGACCTGAGAACATGCAGTAAGACCAGGGCCAGGAATCAAACCCAGAACCTTCTTGCTGCAAGGCAACAGCTCTACCAACTGCACCACCGTGCAGCCCTTTCCTGTTTCACATATAAATTAATTTAGAGATTTTTGTTTGAATTATTCCAATTCAGCTCAGTTCTGGATTCATAAATTATAAACCTGACAAACATTCAGATGTTTTTTGCATGTAGTTTAGATGATGGAAGCAGTTTATGCACCGATTTTAGGTAAATCTGGTTGGTTTGGGAGTGAAAACTTAAAAAACAGAAGATAATTCGATACCGAGAGCCACGCAGCGTAGCTGGAGCGTGTGGCCGGTTGTGTTCAGTTTCTCCTGGAAACTGAACGTTTCCATGTGTGAATGCTTGAGAGAAAACCCAGATCACATAAAAACGCCACACTGATGAACACTTCCGTTCTGCAGGGCTTCTTCAATCGGACCAGCTGGACCAGCGACTCTGCTGTGCATGCAGCAAATAAAACCCGCCGACATAAATGAGCTCTTTAATGCGTTTGTGTTGGCACAAACCCAGGCATGTTTTTTCATTCACACAAACTGCAGCGAGAAAACAAACATCTGACACCTTTTTCTCTCCATACAGAGAAACTTCCTGCTTACGTTTAAAACTGACGGATCCGACCCAGACGGACAGAACTGATCCTGGAAGAACCAACATCATGACGATTCATTTTCTTTTTTATGTTAAACTATTTTTAACAGCTTGCTCAAACTTTTCTTCATATCCTGTTGATATGGTCCAGTATGCTACTTTTACTTGCCTTCACTTTTTTCCTCTGACAGTTTTTCTCTGTTTTTTTTTTATCAGTTTTTCTTCTGGTTATTGTTTCAAATCTGATTGAAAAGATGAATTTTATTCTACTTTATATATATTTATTTATACTTTATAAAACAGGTTTGGCAAACTTCATTCGACTACATGTAACAAAATTAAGAGAATTTTGTTAAAGTTGCAGCTCCGTTCTCCAAGTGAGAGACAACATCATGATCATGGGTCACTACGGTCATGAGCTGAGAAAATTCAAATCATTTCCAAACACCAATAACTTCATAAAGCTTCTGCTTCTCTGATATTTAGCTGGACAAAATGCTTTTCCAGCAGCTAATTGACTCAAATGTTCCTAAAAATGATGCGTCACAAAACCTGTGACATCAGTCAAATATCTGCTGCTGCTCAGATGGATTTTATGATTCAGGAACATTTAGTCAGAGGGGAATACTTTTTATAAAACACATAATTCACCATAAACTGTATCTGATGCCATTAAAGCTGAAGTTTTCAGTACATTGTCGTAGTAACAAGCAGATGGATTTTATCCTGTGATTGGTGCAAAGTTCCCTGTTTAAATTACAGCTGAAAGACGTCCTCACCTCTCTGTGTTAGTCAGTGTAAACTCCACAGTCCTCTTCATTCACAAGTCTGTCTGTCAGCCTGACAGGCACTCAGACAGGAAGTTGTGTGTTTGGCGTTCCTGCAGCTTCAGATGATGAACAGCTGGTCCCGCCCACAGTGATCTGCAGCAGAGATGAAGCTGTTCAGAGCAAAACTAGAAACACACCTTTCCATCAGCTCAGAGTTATTATTTCTGTTCATTCAGTTAAATCAGACCGAGGAAAGTTGTCCTGGGTCGTTTGACCTCTCTGCCTTACTGAAGGTCATCTGTTCAGTCCGACAGAAACAGACGAGTTCCTGCAGACTTTCTGCATGTTTGTTTGGCAGCTCAGTGTGTTCTGTGGTGTGTATTTGATGTGCATATTGTAGCACACTAAGAGCCTTGGACCATATGTTTCCTGAAACCAGCTTTCTAATTAGTTACAGTGTAATTCATAAGTCTAGGAAAAATAGTTGCTATAACCAGAACTTAAAGTATTTTAATGGGATTTTATCTGACAAAGTGGAGCTTAATTTTGAAGTGAAAGAAAAAGTACGCATTGCTTTACACACACACACACACACACACACACACACACACACACACACACACTTTGGGCCCCATAAGGAGTAGTCAGTCCCCACAATGCAGTATTTGTTTGGAAAAAGATACTTGCAGTGTATCAAATACAGGACTACACATAAACATGCACACAAGTGTTACTTTAACATGTTTTTACTCGAGTAAAAAGTAGCTGCTCCAAAAGTAAAGAAGTAGTTTATCAAAAGATTTAATATTTAAAAATTATCAGATGGACCAAAATATAAAATTTGGGAATTCCCCCCAAATTTATTTCTTTCAATATAAAGCTTATGAAATGATAATGAAACTACAGGTGTGTGTTTGGTGAATTTTTGGTTAAATTTGCTCTTCATTCCCTGAAGTTACTCACAGTGGGTAGATAATCCAGAAATTTTAATCAAGTAAAAGTCATAATATTTAATAAAATTATTCAAATAAAAATAAAAAGTACAGCTTAGTAGAAATAAAAGTATTTATTGAAATAAATGTAACTATTAAAACCACAAGAAGTTTTAATTCATTCTCACAACAAGCTGCATAGGAGACATAAAAACATGGGAAAGTTGCTCTGATCAGATGAGACCAAAACTGAACATAATGAAAACGCTGCATGTTTGATGGTAGGGATGAAAACAGAAATTATTACAAAGACAAGAGAAAAGAAACTCAACAGCTTTTAATCTATTTCTCAGAGCATGAATGTTAAATTTGATCATTTTTCAAAATAATCTAAAGCAGCCGTTAGATGGAGAATTAAATGATGGAATTTTAAAAGATAACTGTTGATAAATATTTAAAGATTAATAGTGTCTGTAATATTTCAGGCCTGAGGACAAACAGTGCTGACCTGCAGTGATGAAGGTCAAAGGTGAAGCTTTCAGTCCGTCTTTCTTCTTCTTGATTCCAACCAGAAGTAGGGGTCAAACTTAGGGATGGAGGACAGTGAGAATATTTTACTACAACAGTTAAAAAATAAATGAGAAAGTGTTTTCTACCTCAGAGAGGATGAGAAGTCATGTAAAAATGGGTCTGGCTGCTTTCTGACGGTTTAACGCTGCAGCGTAAGGTGGGTGTGTGGAGCCTCAGGGCAACCTTAAGCTACAGCGACTGGGGTCAAAGGTCAACATGGTGTGGTTGTTCAGTGGTTAGCTTCGTTACCTCGCGGCCTGCTGGTCTCATGCCCGCTCTCTGTCACCGTGGTTAAGTTAAACTAAGGTGTGAAAGTTTCTCGGTTCGGCGACTTTCTGCTGATCTGACCTGAAAATACTGAATGAAAAACTGAAACCTGTGAAAACTGGATTAGAACCAATCCAGAGAAAAAATAACGGCAAACACTAAAACCAGCTCTCTGACAAATACATGACATTTATTCAGGAAGCTTTATATATATAAAAAAAAACAAAACGGCAACAAAAATAAGTCAAGGGTCAAATTTAGAATTTCTAAAAACAATAAAAGACAATATCACCTTTGAAAACAGCCTTTTCTGTTTATTCAGGTTATCTTTATTGAATATTCAGACTTGTTTCAAGATCTAAAATGTTTCAGTTTAACACAAAAGCAGAAGAAATGTGTGAAGATGAACACACTTTATTCACAGAACCCTTTACATCCTTCGTTTTAGGCATTTAAGCTACAAGCGGTTACCCGGCAACCGCTGTGGCTGTTACACCAATATAATGTGCAACATGATTTTCTATAGGGGTAAAAATGGCTCCTGGGTGGGTTTGGTTCTAATTATTATAATTACTTTATTTTGTACACCAGACATTCTACTAGGAAAAGTCATGAACTGTGAGGTTTTATTAGGCAGAGCTGCAGGAAACTGAAAATACACAGAGGATAAAAATGAACTGACTGCAGTTATGGTGGAGAAATAAAAGTGTAGCCTTGTTGTCAGATAATATTTTGGAGATTCAAAGCTAAGCAAAACTTCACCGTAATGATCTGAAGAATGTTGTTGGGATTTATTAGCAAATCTAAACCTCTATCAGGAAAAAATAAACTTATGGTGCTTTGTTTTCTGTTTTCTGTTGGTTTAATTGGCTTTTTTATTGACAATGTATTCATTCGCAAACAGTTTTACAACAGAACATTGAAACAATTTTATGAAATAGTTACTGTAGATATACAATAGAGAATAATACACACAGTTAAAAGAGAAAAGAAAAACTCCCTTATATAATCACAGCTTGGGAATTAGTTTTGAGTAATCCTCACTGCATTTATTGTTATTCAGTTCTAGCAGACATTTCAAAACTGCAACATCACAGCCATGAACGGTCAGGTGTTTTATCACAGCAGTCATTTTACATATTTCAAATAAAGACAAAATAAATTAAGAAAACACACACCATCAGCTGATCTTTGTGATTAACAGTTGAAATGCATAACACCTTGAATTATTGTACATTTAAAATAAATAAAACTTCAAAAATGAACAAGAAAGCTCAATAAAAAATACAGATGAGTAACGACACACCTGCACAGAATGAAACTGAACAGTTCAAGTCAGTTGTTCCCACATGTGCTGCAGCAGTAAGGCCTAACGCCCGACAAAAACATCCATCCTCCGCTGATATGCGTATAAAAACTGAAACGAACATCTAACAAACATGCTAGCTAAAACACATTTTGACCTCTACAGCAACTTTTAGGTCAACAAAACTCCGTGAGAAACTCACCTTCCTTAATGAAACAACCACAAAGGCGCTGGTGAAAGAGGAAGTGATGTCACATGTTCATCATCTTCTTTTGTATTTTATTGGCGGATGGCAAACCAACTTAAGGTGCATTTACCGCCACCTGCTGGACTTACATCGCATGTAACGCAAAAATAAAATACATAAAGTTTCTCAAAATGATAACATAGATTTTGTATAATAACCAATATAAAATTGAAAGTCAATAAAATTAAGAAAATAAAAATACATACAATTAATAAGTAAGGGATTTTGATGGAATGTATTATGCTTTGTTTCTTCCATGCTACAGATGGCGGGTTATAAAAAGACTTGATATGGTCTGCGTATAGGTGTAGAAATGATCTGAAGAACAACGTGGCGACCAGAGGCGGATCAGGGCACATGCAAGCAAAGTTTGAATTTCAACACAAACCAAAGAACATTTTTACATTTGTTTATTGAGGATGAGAATACCATTAACTTCACCATTTATAAATACTCCAGAAGCTTTGAACCAACTCATGAAACTACTATGGTTATAACTTTAATCTGTCTGATTATAATCTGATTATAACTATTACAATAATTCAAAAATTCTACATTTGGAAACTCTGCAGAGTGCCTAATAAAGTAAAGGAGTGGATGGTTAAAAGAGCAGCATGTGTTAACTGTGTCATCACAAACACACCAATAATTCTTCAAAATAAACATTCTTCCTGTTTGAGTCACTCAAAATTAAAATTAAAATTAAAAGTTTATAACCACCAGCTGTGTGTTGTCATGTTCTACATAAAATGGCATTAATCTCCTGAGACAACATTAAACTAATCAGACTGAGGATTAACTTGGACGTGTAAAAATCTCTTCCCAAACTTCCCAAGTCTTTACTGGATATTTGCTCCTGTCATGTTGAGATTCCTGGCAGCTGAAACCATTTAAATCCAGTTCTAAAGCAAATTTTGCCCCTAGGATTATTCACCGTAACATCATATGCATTAGTCCACAAACACTGAGACGTATATACCTTAATCCTCAGAAAGGGCACGGCCTGGAACGGCTGCAGAGAAATAATTCCTGTCTGCAGGCGTTTTCAAATCTCCAGTCAAACAGGAGAAAACTCCTCCATCCGAGGCTCTGACAAGCAGACAGTGACCCATTAACCATCTGTAACCAGGAGGAAATCATTTAAACAGGCAGAAACTTTTATTTTAAAAAAGCTTTGATCGTTTAAAACAACTGTGTACCTTTAACCCTGAATATAATGTGCTTCACCTGATCAGATCTAAATAATCAGAAATAGTTCATGTGTTATTTTCCCAGTGGAGAGTTTATATAAAGCAAAGTTTATCTCAAGGTTTAGCTCAAGTTCAGGATTTTTCTACATTCAGCAGATTAATCTTTTTTTTTTTTAAATCAGTTTTCACATATACATATGTGAAAGCTAATTAGCTCAAATGCGATGCAGTGATGGGGGTGGAAGCATTTTTTTTGACTCGGAACAGCCCAGCGCCCCGTTAAACAGGTAAACCTAGCCAACCTCCTCTGATTTAATTTTGACCGTCACAACCTTTTCCGTCTGTTCTCAGCTCTGCCCAGGGTAGACTACTTCTTCTAGCCTACCGGGTTCAACAGGCAGCCTGTTTAATTTGAGCCGTTAAAACTGTTCCTGTCTCTGCACCTCCACCCTACTTCCATTGCATATTTTTAAATACATTATCCATGAACAACAATAATAGCAAACTGATAGAAAAAAAAAATACTTACCTTACAGAGAAAATTTGGATTGCCAACATAAATTCACGGCGAAAGGGACTTCCAACTCGGAAAGCGGCGGGCTCCAGACTAATCCGGTTTAAACTGGTTTTTCTATTCGTGCAGTTTTATTGTTGCATTACTGCCCCCTTATGGCCAAGAGAGGTATTGGTGTGCTAATTCACTTAACTAAATTTTGTTGTGTTCACACAAAATTATTTAGGTTAACATGCGACAAAATCATGTTATCGTTACTTGAATTAATTAATTAAACACAACAAACACAATTTTTATGTGTTAACTTGAAATGATATATTAACATAATGTGAACAACTGCCATGTTTCACTTTTTTGAGGGTACAAACCTTATAAAACAATTACACAGCTGTAAACAGATTGCTACATAAACTATATTATTATTTTTTTTACTGATTCATATTAGATCTGATCAAAGTCAGATAGAAATATCAAAAAAATATATTTTTAAAATGAGAGAATACTGAGCAAGAGATTTTTTGCAGATTATTTTTCATCAGATTCAACAGTTTACATCCTTTCTCTGAGTCAGACGGTCTTGGGTCAAACATTTCGTCTTTTAATCCCTCATAATCTGATGGCATCAGCTGCAGTAAAGCGTTCACACACCATGATACTACCACTCCTTTACCTCAGTGTTTTCAGACCTGCATGTTTCCTCCATTTTCCTTAGAATGTAACTGAGGTCTTTGTGCTCAGAGGTTTTATGTTGCTTTGGCTTCTTCCTCTGTAAGTGGCGTTTCAGCTCATGCAGAAACAGAACTGACACTGAGACATGCATTCATATTGGCTTCCAAAATAGTTTAATTATAATGTATGTAAACATCTAAATCTGTAAAGTAAAAGAAAAACAATAATAATAAACATTCAGTTTCTCATTATTCTGGGATTGAGCAACTGGAAGTTGTTTTGGTAACGGAAATCAATCAAAGCGGTGATCAGCACCATGCTGACCGACTCCACACAGGAAGGCCTGAGTGAACCAGGATTCAAACACAAATCATCTGAAGCTTTCCTTTAATGCTGATTTTCACTGGATGCTCTTTTCATCGACTGTAACAGCATCAGGAAATACATAGAACGTTAGCTGATGGAGCTGCAATCAATACAGACGATTGGTTTGGGGAAAAGCTGTTTTTATCGATGTTTGGTTGGAAAAGTGATTTTCAGAAGATCAGTTCTAAGACGTCTTGAGCGTCTCAGACCGATTTACAGAACAAAAGTAAACCGGAAGTAAAAATCTGGAGTCCATCCAACATCAACGTCAACAAAACAATAAATCTGATAGAGGAAACCAATATTTACACTCCAAAACGCAAAACCTTACTCAGTTTTTCTCTCTTGTTTCTAGTTCAGATATATTATTATACTTGGGAAAAAAAACTAACTTCCAAGAAACTTTTCAGAGAAATGTAGAAACTTGTTTAAGTCAATAATTCCTCAATATTTATTTATATATATAAAAAATATTACAAATATTTTTCCATTTATGAGAAGACATTTTTTCAATTTTTCAATGGCAGCAGAATTAGAACCTTTTTTAAAGGCAATATTAAATAATTTTTCTTACTGAAAAGTTTATTGGAAGTTAGTTTTGTCTCATTTCAAAAGGACGTCTGCTCTAGAAACCAGACAGAAATACTTGGTAAGATGTTGTTTTTCTCCTCTTACCGGTTCTATAAATCATGTGATGTTTCCTGGTTGCTTTAAACTACGGGCCGGTTCAGGGGCCGACTAGCTGTGTGGCGCCGTTTCCCACACCATGGCGCACCAACAGGCGCTGATGCATGCGCAAATGAAGACGGATTGCGTATGATGACACAAGTCAGGTTTAATTTGCTCTTTTGCCAAAAGCAGAAAGAGCAAAGGAAGAGAGATGCATCACCGGCGCTGGAACTTAACTCAATATATTACAAAGCCCAAAGGTGTAGCTTTGATCTTTCCTTGTGAAGAGTTGTGACAGAGCTGTTCCACTCTTTCTGAACTCAGGTGGCCCTTCACACAATAGCCAGAGAAAATAACTTCATCTCCCAGGCTAAATAAGAAGCTCTTGAAGATCTACACAGGAAAGAGATGCAACAACCAGATGAAATTGTATTATTCTTCTCCAAAGTTGTTTCCTTTCACAGAGGAGAAGAGCTGCGCTGCAGACTGATACCTGCGTGGATTATAATTCTCTTATCTCTGCAGGCTCAGGTGGGGTCGGATTATTTTCAGCACAATAAGTTTAAATATCAGCAGAAAATCTATTTTATTATCCGCAGTTGGGAAATTCAGTGTGATTTATTTTCAGTCGAGATTCTTGGCCCCCTGGAAACTAAAAAAAAAAAAAGCCTCCTTCCTGTGGAGTTCTGTTTGTTCTGCTGACCCGGGTCAGAACCAAACACTGACTTCATGTTACTGAAACACTGGAAATTTATTTATATGTTCAAATCTGAAGTAATTTACTGGCAGTAAAGTGCAGAGCATCTGGAAAGTAATCACACGTTTCACTTTTTTTGTACCTTTTCTTATGCTACAACATTATTCCAAATTATATCAAATTAATATCTTTCCTTCAAAAGGCACAAATGATTCTGTCTTTTACCAGATCAGGAATATTTTAAATTAGTTTCTGTAAGAAAGCAACGCGTCAACTCAACGTTGGCCTCATTAAGAAATGAATCTAGTTTACAAAGTCTTTGGAGATTTCTTTTGCAGAAAATGGAGGGTGGAGAGCAACATTCTAGTCCTGCTACAGATTCTCAGCTGGATTACGGTCTGGACTTTGACTAGGCCACTCTTACACATGAATCTGCTTGGATCTAAACCATCCCATAATATCTCTGGCTGGATGTTCAGGCTGGTTGTTCCTCCATTATTGTCCTGGATTTAGCTCCATCCATTCTCCCACAGCATGATGCTGCCACCACCATGATGTTCACTAAAGTTCAGCAGAGAGAATCTGAGGGCAGAAACAGAAAAGCTGCATTAATGTTCAGATTATTCAACAATTAACTAAAAAACAGGCCAGAATATTTGACTTTTATGTCACATTTGTCTCCCTTTTCCTAATTATGCATTAATTCATTCATAACACATGAAATGCATGATGTAAAAATAATCTAAGATTTCAATAGACATGGATGCTTTTGCAATGCTCTGTGTTTCAGCAGCAGGTTGTAATGAGGCTCTGATTGCATGCAAAAGAAACTCAAAGTGTGCAACCTGGCACTGGGAGACGCAGGACTGATGACGCTACAATCTGGGCTGCTACAGATCTGCAGCACGCTCTCACCAAACTTTTCAGAGAATTTGGCTCTTCCACACCCAGAGGCAGCCTGCTTGCTTCTGCTCCGTGTTGCCATCTGTGGTTACACCCTGACGCTTGTCCACATATTCTTAACTTTTCCCTCTGAATCTGTTTCCTGTTGCAGTTTGCATCAGAAAATGCGGTCCGGGCTTGAAGCAGCGATCTCTCCCTGGACCCCTCAGGTCCAGCTCCTCCACGGTGCTGCCTGGCTCTTCGGAGACCTACTGCTAGCTCAGTTTGGTGAAGCTCCTCTCTGCTCTGGCCTCACAACACTTAGATGAACTCTGCACTGGAGTCAGAATAACACAGCTGCCAACCTGCTGCTGCAGGCAGAAACTCCACCCACACACCGTGGCAGATACTGACATCCTGTTTCCTTAAAAACATCCAAAATCCAGAGAGTTCTGCGTTCTCCTGAAGTACACTGGAGATAAGTGTTACAGATCAGTTTTAATGGACTTTTATTCCTAACTACCCCTCATAGTGAAGCTTTCAACATCATGTTAAGCATGTAAACCATTATGAAGAGAATAATGGCCCTAATATAGGAGAAGGAGTGCGTAAGTAAGGCTGATGAGTCAATAAAGTCTGAAGGATTCTTTCTCCTGGATGATACAGGAACAGTAATGATGCTCTATAATGATGTTACAATACCAGATCCACTTTAGCTCAGTGGACTCAGAGCCGTAAACATTGATTTAAAACATGCAGGTCGTCAGCGGGCAGCTGGTGCTAAACGGAAAGAAAGACTAAATGTTCAAATGAATAAAAAGAATTAAGTACAGATTTTATTAGGATGTTAACTGGGTAACAGGAAGAGGTGTATCATTTTGAGGAGGAAGGAAAAGGAAACGTAAACATCTAAAATAGTTTCACATGTTTTCAGTCCCTTCATTTTTATTTATTTTGTTAGTTCATGGAAATCATTTTCAGGGTTTTGTCTCAACCAGATTAAAAAATTTAGGGTCAGAAATTTTTGCCCATTTTTGGTAAAAAGCTCAAACTCAGTCAGGTTGGATGGAGAGCAATGCTCAAGTCCAGGGATCAGGACTTTGTTTAGGCCAGTTTTACCCATGAAGCTGCTCTGACATGATCATAATACCTCTTGCAAACATGAATTATAAGTGTTTTTTTCAACAACAGCTTTCTGTCTGCCTCTCTTCCATCAGGAGAAAATAAATACACATAAAAACTGCAGTTTTTCACAGAGTTATTGCTTTACATTTCCACAACAGAATAACACTAAATTAAAAATACCAGTGAATTTTATTGGTAATTGTGCTTTTTTGAAAACATTTTCCAAAAATATCAACTTCACATAGAAGAAAAAATAAGACAATATATGGTTAATCTTGTGAAATGGCAATAATTGTCCCATAGTAGAAATTGATAAAAATCATAAGTTGCGATTTTTTGAAACGGTAATGAAGCAACGTTTCCGTCTCTAAACAGGTTTAAATGAGTTGAAATATGAAACTCATATTCACAAATCGCAAAACGTTTTTCTCTCTCCCCTCATTAAACATCCCGCCCCCTTTCTGTCAGTTAGCTGATTGGACAGATGCTCCAAAAACGACCTAGTTAAAGTAAACAGAATGCAGCGCTCTACAGTGAGCTAAATATTATTTAGCTAGCATGTAGCTCATATTAGCACATCTTATGTAGAAGGAATGGAAGTGTTACTGATTATTATTAGAAACAAAAATAATTTTAGTTTTTAAAATTTATATATTAAATTATATTTTGTTCCCATTAAGAGAAAACGTTTCCAGTGCAGCTGCAGCATGTAATCATGATGTGGACTGATGCAGCGTTAGCAGGACGCCGCCTTCACCAGCTCCGCCTGGAGGCCTGCTCTGGTCAGGAGCAGCAGAAAGCAGAGCAGAAACCCGGCGCAGCACGGAGCCTCACACTCAGCCGCTGCACTTGTTTTCTAGCAGCAAAACCTCAGTGGAGATTTTCCCACAGAGTGAAAATAAATGGAGTGCCCAGGAAGGGCAGAACAGAGAGGCGCTGATTGCGAAGCTTCAAACCTGGTCATGCGTCTGAAATCCTCTGCTATCCATGTGTTTATTTATTTAGCTGCTGCAGAGCCTCAGGATGCCGTGCTGAATGTACATTTGATTCCTCAGAGAACCGTTTGTCCCATTTTTCTCGTATAAGGTTTTTAGTTGAGAGTCGTTCACCAATCCATCCGCCTGCAGTTTTCTACTTATCTGAGATCAGGATGGGAAGGTAACAGGTCATGATCCAGGTTCCATGGAGCGCCTGGAGCAGCTCCATAAAGAAACCCCCACTGTCAGCCTGATAGATCACCTGACCCCTCACCTGACCCCTCACCTGACCCCTCACCTGACCCCACCACATGAACCCTCACCTGTTGTTGACTTACCATCCAGAAACTGCTTCCAGCTTTCTTGATGGTTTTGCAGGAGGCTCCACTTCTGCTTTTCAAAGATGTAAGATTGTAGAGTCTGTTTCCATCCATTTTCACAGGATCTCATTTGGATTTAAAGTGACAGAGGCCCTCAAACAGCTGAAAAGAGCTAGAACTGAATTTCTAGATCAATTCAAATTTCTTCATTAAAAAATAATTTAGTACAAAAATGTAGCAAACATGTTTCTGTTGCCTACAGACGTGTCCTGACCTGTTCAAGGTCACCTGTAATACGATGTTCCTGTCTTTACAACGTTTTTTATGAGCTACAACTCAACATGCACACCTAATTACTATCAACACTTTATGCATTTTATTCCATGCGGTAAGAAACAAGCTAATGATTTAAAACTCATGCCAGGTGATTTTCTGTAAGATCTGTATTTGAGGTTAGGGTCATTTGAAAGCAGTGACTCTAGCAAATAGAAATATCAGTATGGTAATTATTAATATATGTATTCTGAAACAGTCTAAAATTTTATTGAAAGAATTAAAATCACATAAATGAAGATTAGGACTTTGAACATATATGTTTTGGTTTGTACATTCAGACTCAGGTCAAACATAAAAAGCGTCTGTGGACGTTTTAAAGAATCAGAGCCGACTCATCCGCTGCCTTCAGAGTCAGACGTCGTCCTGTGAAAGTCACTTTGGTCAGCAGCGCTGACAAACTGGTAAAAATATGGATTGGTAGAATCAGACCTAAAATAAAAGAACCATAACCCAAAGAGTCTGAGCCTCACCTGCATGGCTCTGGTTGGGTCAATTAATCCTGTGTCCGTCCTCTGCGCTCTGAGCAGAAACAGAAAGCTTCAGCTGTCCGGCTCTGCTGAGCCTGTTCTCTCTGCAGCTCCTGATTTCTGTTCTCAGCTGTCAGAAGTGAAACCCGACATGGTCAGCTGCTGGTAAAAACGGATCCAATTCAAGGTTTGACACGTGCGATCTGACATGCTTTCCCGCTCAGCAGTTGTAAGGGGAACTTAGCGAGGCCCTGTTGTCTGGCTGCTCTGCTCCCACTTCTCCTCCAACACCGTGTTTCTGTCTGCTCAGCTGACACTCCTAGGGCCTTTCTGCATTCCCCCCACTTGGGAAAACAATAGATTTCAGCGCATGGGCATGTCAGCAGCCAATCTGAACGGCTTCATCCTTTATGTTACACGAGGCTCAAAACCAATAAAGTTTGATTATTTTTTCAATTCCAACATTTAGTCTGAAATGCAGAAAAGCACTGATCCTGTGGTCCATGTTTCTGTTTAATGCTTTTTGGTTGTCTTGCATGACATCTGTTTTAACTAACACATTGCATAAACACGTGTCAGTTTTGCATATATTTCCAGCTCACCTTAACTGAGATGTTAAAGTGAGAGGCTTCTGCAGGCCTCTGCATCTCCTGGACATTATTTCTATGGCTGCTTGTTGATCCTCAAACAGTGATGGCCTGTGGGACCAGAACACAGTTAGCATCACATTCAACCATCAACTCTACCTACAAATGATGGAGATATTTACAACCAGAACCTCAGGAAAACTTCAAAGTCTTTATAAGTCAAAACTCCAGTTTAAATACCATAAAAAGGGAAAATATCAGTGTAAGAATATCAGTTATTAAAGCCACTCCAAGCATAAACTGCAAAATCATTCAAAAATAGCAGAAGTAAAATAGCATCTTACTTCTCAAACTTACAGTTTGAGAAGTAATGCTGGCTGTAATTCAGCTGTCTAACTTTGTCCACACATGCAGTCTCTGTGTGGGGATAACAGAAACATCTCCATAGCTGAACTCAAGGCCTCATCTGTCTGCCTGAATAAAAACATCTTCTATCTCCAGGCTGGGACACGTAAAATAACCCGAGGAAATAATAAAAGCTTAAAAATGTGCAGAATAACAATACATACACAAACAACCTGGAACTCAAGTAAACAGCTGCAAGTCCTGCACCAGACCTCACTTTGTATGTTTGCTTTACTTAGAATAATTGTAACCTTGTGAAAATAAATTAAAAACTAAAATGAGAGATACTTTACTGTCCCTGAGGAAAACCCATAGAGGTGCAGGTTTACATGCACACCAATAAAAAACAAAATATGATGAATATTCCATCTACAGTATATCGACTCCATTCCAGTTGAACTCGGAACTGGAAATTCCGACTTCCCATTTTGAAAAATTAACTGATTTGCTCTCCAAAGTTGGATTTCCAGCTGGGAAACTGGGAGCAGCTCCCACTACCCCCAGTTACAACGTGTCAGACCAACTTCCTGTTTCAATATGGCCGCTCCTCGCGCCACCAGCAGTGAGTTCTGGTTCTGGTGGAAACATGATTATTTTATAAGACACACATGCAAGAGAGTGCGTCTAAAGTTAAAGCTGCATGTAGCACCTGAAGCTCTAAACAGAATTAATTCAAAGTGGCCTTACCTTTTCGAAAATAGATGATGTTTGTCAGAGGAACTGCAAACAGTATTTATGGGCGTTGCCATGGTGAAATCCCGGCTTGTTAACTGGAGCGTTGTTTCCTCTGGTCTGACGTCAATCCCAGCTCCAAGATCCAACTTCTGCTGTGACGCATCTTGGGGTTTTATCCTGTAAATAAAGTTTGCCTTGCTTTACATCTCTAATCTAAAATTCGTCCGTTGCCGTTTCATTTCTGTGTGATGTGAAGAGGAGGGGTGACAGTACACATCCCTGTGGTGCACCGTTGTTGTTTGTCTTTGGAAACCAAAGTCTCCTTTTAATAGCAAGGATTAATAACATCATGCCGTAAAGGTGTTATATTTCTAATTATAGGTGTTTTATAACCAGATTTAATTCAATCTAGTAGAGCTGGTTCAAAACTGCAGTACCACCTACCGCCCTTAGGGGCGCTAGGCTGTAAGTCGCCTCAGGGTAAGAAAAATGACCTAAAATGATAATTAATGTAAACCAGTTTTTGCATGAGATGAGATATGGGCCGAGGTTTTAAGGGCATTTTTAATTACCTGTTTTCTGTCTGAATCCGTCCCTTTAATTCCTGCATGATGCCGTTTTTGATTCGCCTCCCAGCTGCTGAAAGCACCACCGTTTAGCTATTCCACACCTCGCTTTGAAAATCCCAGAAGAAGAAAGCTTAGGTGACATTTAAGCATTTATGAGTACAAATGTAAGTCTTCTTCTTGAGGGCTTAACCTTGATGGAGTTTAAATCACTCTTGGTTTCACAATGTGGGAGGGAAGCGTTCCCACTCCGCTTCCTTCATGTGTGGAGTTCAGGCGGCAACACATCCAAAAATATACCTGCAATGATGAAATATCCCAGAAGAAATTTATACTAATGTAGAATGATGCCTCCTCAACAGCAAAAGCAAAAATAAATGATAACTTTTTTCTATCAAGAGGAAATATCGAGGTGAAATGTGAAACTTTCTGTCTCTTCGGCCCAATTTCAGCCCCATTTATCATTAAACAGTTACATAGGCAAAGAATTCAATTTTTCCTCCTCTCATTTCGTTTTTTCATGACTGCGTATTCGGGAAAGGGCGAAAACATAATTACAGAATGCAGCAACACACTAACAAAGAAATATCGACTGTTGGCTTCCAGGAGAGCGCTGGGTGTGAACTGTGCCGGTTTTTGTTGCTAATAGCGCTTCACCCTCTATTATCCTGGAGACATTTTTCACTGCAGGCTGGAGCATTAGAGAGGTTTACATCTAAAAGGAAGGAAATAACTCTTTCAGTCCCGCAGCTTCATCTTTACAGTGAGGAAACACAAAGGCAGGCAGAACGCTAACAGAGTTAGCTTTCTCCTGAGCAGGTTAGCGGAGGTGCACAGCAGCACATGCTTGTTGTGCTCGTCCCGTCAGACAGACGCAGTTTTTGGGTGTCAGGTTGGAAGAGGAGTCGGTTCACATAGGAGCTCATTTGGCAGAGCAGCGCCACCGGGGGGCCTAATGAAAGCTCAAAGCCTGGGCTGGAGCTGGGACCAGTCAAACCACAGCCTCTCTCTCTTCCTCTCATATGATTTGCAGGGTTTTACCCTCTTCTATGTGCTACAGTGTGTAGCCTGCAGGGCTTGTTGAAAATCTATTCAAAAGCATAGCGTGTAATTTCAAAACTACATCAGTTCTAACAAGCGCATGTTTTTTTTTCGGATTCCTTGGAGTTGTTTTGCAGATATGTGTATTCACACCGACTGCAGTGATAAACATAAGCCCTCCTCATCCTCAGCTGACTTCTTTCTCACGAGAAACGGCTTATTGACGCGTTCATCCACCCAGAGCGCCGTGTTCAGGAGCTTTGGTGGGATACAGCGCCTCGTATCCTTCATTCTTTTAAAGCATGGCGCTCCGAGAATTCACAGCAGCTTCAGCTTCGTGATGAAATTCGGTAAATTTCAACACAGAATGGAAAAACTGAAACAGCTGCAGTTTCACGGACGTGATATGGATTCATTTCACACAGAATTAGAGCGTTTATTTTGGTTAATGTTGCAGTAGTTTGTCACTAAATCAGACCAATAAAGTAGGATTTTCTAAACAAAGTCATTCATGTCCTGTACTGGATGAATTACTGCGTCAGTGCGGCGTGACACGGAGGTCAGCCTGTGGTTCTGCTGAGGTTTGATGTCTTTGTTGGTTCTGGTGTCTCTCATCTTCCAATAGATTCTCAGTTTGGGCTCAGGTCAGATACGGTTGCTGGTGTTGCCATGGCGATAGTACCAAATCATCACAGACTGTGGAAACTTCACTCTGGACCTCCAGCCACGGGGATCCTGGCCCACTCCGCTCCTTCTCCAGACTTTCAGACTTTGATCTCCAGATGAAACAAAAACTTTCCTTTAATCTGAAAACACGACTCTGGTTTCGGTTCTGGCTCTCAGGTAAGATGGTTCTGATAAAGTCTCTATCTTTTGAAGCTCTGACTTCAGCTCCTCCTGAATGGACTTTTCTCTTACCGATCACACCACATGTAACACCACCGGTGACAACTGATGATAAAATATGAAATCATAAACTAACTTCAAATTGGGGATGAAATGATTTCAGTGTTTGGTGGTTTTAAAGTGCGAAGGAGGCAGAGTCTGCAGCTTCTCATCGCTCTTCCTTTGCAGAATCTTCTCCGCGTTTAGGAAGATGCAGATGCAGCAGTTCAGCTCCAGGAAAATCTGCTGCATTATTTCCGCTGAGAGGCCAAACAAAAAATATGTTTACTTTCATTATGCATTTTGATGTTACCTTTTTAATAGTTATTTTGTTGGTTTTCTGTGATGTTTTTGTCTGAGATCCTGAGCTGTGAATACGTTTAAAAGGCCCAGTGGATCCACTGTCACCTCTGTGTTCAGGTTTTTTATTTAGTATTTGTTTTGCTGCTGCATATTTTTGCGTCTGTACATTGTTTGGATTTATAGAATAAGATGTCGTCTCAATTTGATCAAACTCTCCATTCAAACTTCATTTAATGCGTGACTTGCTGTGGGTGGTGTTACACTTACAGGAACTTATTACCTCTTATTCTGTCTTTTTTTCTTTTTTTTTAGGAAGTCACGCTTTCTCAGTTAGGAACTCAGCAGCAGTCTGCCGGATTAAACTGCAGATGTGACACAGCTTCATACTTTACGATGTTTACTCGCTGACTGTTTTCAGTGGTGACAACTGCAAAGGAGAAAAACACAAGTGCAGGTTTCCAGTTTACCAGTTTTCAGTTTCCCGGCTCTATGCTTGATTATTCATGTGATTAAAAGTTCTGAAGAGTGTCTGACCTTTCAGAAACTGCATAATTTCCATCTTGATGACTGAAGTAAATGACCCCTTTGATTGGTTGTGAATAATTACAGTGATAAGTCTGTTGGTGAGGTTTTTCCTGTGCAGCTTGTGCCATCGACTGTCCAATCTGTACAGGAACTGCATTCGTCGCTTTAGGCTGAGACTCCCATCTGCTTTGGAAAATCATCTCCCTAATTAGGAGGAGAACAGAGGTGGTCAGACGAGTCAATAGGTGATGAGAGGAGAAGCAGCTTCACTGTGGTCACACCTGTCCACATGCAACAGACACACACAGGCCTGATCAAAAAACAATTAGGACCAAGAGATCTGCATAAAACACAGCATCAGAGCCAATATCTCCATGGAAATGAAATTCACATTTAACCCACCTGACATGTGTCCAGGCTAAACAGACTGACCTTCCACCCAGTGATGTGAATCACTTAATATTTGGTTAAAATGAAGACAAGTACAGTATGTTTTATAAAAGGTTTTGTTCAGATCTAATAAAAATATATCTTTAGAATATACAGCTCTGGTAAGATGTTTACACCTGAATATCAGGTTAAATGTCAGGTTAGTTTGAAGTGTTTAACGATGAATTGTTCATTTTCCTGAGTGGGATGGTTATGCAACAACATTTCTGTGATTTTTTTTGTCCTCATCAACATTCATTTGTGCTTATTGCTGCAGACTGATCACTGGACTTTGATGTTTTTGTTAACAGAATTCTTGGTTCTAATAATGTCAGCAAACCGTTCAGGTCCAGAAGCAGCAAAGCAGCTCCAGAGCATCACACCACCACCACCATGTTGGATTTTAAGAACCATGCTATTTTTATGTGACTACTCCTCTCATACTTGTTGTAGATTACAGTGTTTCTTTGAGTTTTAGTGTATTTATACATCTTATTAGGGCCTGATAAACATCTCTGGTTTCGAAGGGGGAGTTCATACCAGCCCTCTTTATTCCGCTTTAATCAAACTGCAGTTTGTTTGGGGAATCAATCAAACTCTGGTCTGGGCTCGGTTCAAGTGAACTCTGATGCAGTTTGAATGCATATGTGAACACCAAGTGGACTGGAGAATGTTCCAAAAGCAGGAAGTGGACTACAGCGCAGAGCATTCTGGGTAAATACAACAAAAACAAACGTGTGAGTCTATGCTAATGGGAAAAAGGATTCAAGGCTTTTACCAAAGACTAAAGAGAAATCCTCCAACCTCTGTTTCCATTCGGTAAAGAAGGAAGTTGTGCTCCATGTCTTCAGAGGTTTTCATGTGCTTTCCTTCAGTGGTTCTTGGTGCAGCGCCCCCACAGGTGAGGAGGGGAACAGGTTGCTCAAAGGGTTTCTTGGTTTGACTCAGCAGAGAGAAAGAGAACAACAGCAGCTGGAAAAGGAAGAAATGTTGCAGTTTTGGTTCCCAATCAAACCTAGTCTACTGGACTATCAGGTGGGAAAACATCCAAAGACCTTAAAGTCATTTTATAGCACTTTATACATTAACAGTGAGGTAACCCTGCAAAGGAAAATAGAGAATCTGAGACTGAAATCTGTGTAAAGATGCACATCCTGTGTCTGATATCTATATGATGCAACGACAAACAGTGAACTCAATCCAGCATATTAGCAGGAATAATCTGACACATAGGTACAAATACATATTCATTTATTTCACATACATTTTTTCAACTTTTACTTTTTGTAGTTTTTACAATCTAAATGATTCAACAACAAAATGAAGAACTACCACAACAAAGTCCAAATTTTCTACAGGGGAAAATGATGCAGATGTCACTTTTGTAAAATTGACACATGTAGTTAGCCAACCAGCAAAGATACAGTTAAAGTAAAAAAAGACAAAACTAGGACAAGAAGGTGGTTTGTGACCTGGACTAGGCCGTTTTCAGGATGATCAAAGGTTTGTGTTAGGTCCTGAACAGTGTTAGAGCGTTGGCTTTCGCAAAATTATCAACATTTTCCACAAATATTTATTATTAGTAAATTCTATATGTTTCATATTATCCAGGTGGCAATCGGGGCACAGGGACAGAAACTCAGCCGTGGAGGAGAAGCCCTTCCTAAATCAATGGAAACTCGTTCTTGCTGAACATGTGGGGTTACAATTTTGGCTAATGTATCCCATGAATATTGCTATGAATAGTTCTGTTGAATGAATATCCACACAGGTACATAATGAAGCATTCAGTAAACATCCTGAACAGAAGAACTCAGGGTCTCTTTCGTTGTTCAGTGAATAAGCATGGCGCAGGACTAAACAAAGTAGGTTAATAGCTTAGATACAAATTCATACTGTACATTGTGTAGATGAGTCTGTAGTCAACCCAAAACTAAGGGCTTCTTTTTGTACATACAAATTTCAAAAAGTTAATACATGACACCTTTTGCCTTTAGGTCCTCATGGCAACAACTGTTTCCATGCCTCTTCTGAGAAGTTGCCAGCTGGCAGTTATGTAAGACGTGTAATGTGCTTTTCGCTGCTGAACTCGGCGTCAATCCAGTGATTTACAGAATGTCCCTTTATGCTAGATAGCCTAAAACCACTATCATTCTGTCGTTCCATTTTCAAAAAAATACTTTATACTCCAACTGTGTCCACAATCCAGTCCTCTTCTGTCTCTTTTATATATGTATGTTTAACTTACATCATTTTCATGTTAAACCGGCGCGGACCAGCCTGTCCCTCTGCTGAATCAACATTAGTACCGTTGGACTTTGACCGAGGTACATATTCAACATCGATGTTGTTTTTATGTTTTCCTTTTCCTCTGCTCCACACAAAAAGCAGCAGGAAGCAAAACAAGACCACTCCCAGAAAGGTGAAGCAGCCCATAGCGGTGGACACTAAAATAGTCTTCAGGTCCAGACCAAGGGAAATGTTGGCCGTTTCATTGGCAGTGGCGTTGTTAGGGTCTGTGTAATGCTGGGTCCTGTTGGCGTACAGCGACCCCAGACTTTTCACCGCTAATGAAGCCATCAGGGTGTCATTTCCTGCAGTGTTGGAGGCCAGGCAGAGGTACACGCCACTGTCTTGTATCTCTGCAGACTTGATCTCTAATGTGCCGTTGTTGTGCACCATCAGTCGTCCGTGGTTCCGACTCGTCAGTACTCGTCGACGTGGGGACAGCCACGACACGCTCGGCCTCGGCGTCCCTTCGGCGCTGCAGCGCAGCATCGCCTGCTGGCCCTCATCCACTGTAATTGTTTGGGTTTTATTCTCGCGAATTTTTGGCTTGGTGCACGTTACGTAATAAGACAGGAGCGCCTCCTTGAACTCCTTGAAAGGCCGACCACGGATCCCCTCGGGTGTGCTGCATTCAGGCTGCGAGTCTCCAAACAAAATGGAGTGCTTTTTCTGCAGGATCCACATGAGACGACAGTCACACACCAAGGGGTTGTTGTCGATCAGAAGGACCTCCAGAGCCTCGGGCGACTGGAACACGCCCTTTTCCAGGGTGTCCAGGCGGTTGTGGGAGACGTTGAGCACCTTGAGACCCCGTAGGCCTTGAAAGGCGTAAGGATCGATGGTGGTCAGCTGAGCTCCCACTAGATGCAACTCTCGCAACCGAACCAGCTCCATCAGCATCCCTCCTTCGATGTGGCGGATCCGGTTGAAGGACAGGTTGAGGTGGGTCAGGTAGGGCAGGTGCTTCAGGGCTTGGTAAGGGAAGGAGGATAGGTTGGTGTTGGTTATGAACAATGTGGTCAGGTTCAGGCCATGGAGGGTATTCACTGGCATGTGGTCCAGTGAAGGCCAGTTATCGATTTCTAAATGCCGCAGCCGGAACAGCTTTTTGAAGGAATACGGATGCAAAGTGCTAATGCTGAGGTAACGGAGATGAAGGCTGACCAGGTTGTGCAGGTGAGAGAGCGCCTCGGTGGGTACAACTGTAAGGTTGCATCGTTCTAAGGTCAATTCCTCCAGGCTCAGGAGTCCACTGAACGCACGGTGAGAAATATAAACCAGGTCGTTGTCTCCCACTTCCAAAGACCTCAGATTATGTAAATCCTGGAACATATAATCCAAAAGAATGACGATCTTGTTGTCACTTATATCCAGTTGGGTTAGATTGGTCAGGGCTGTGAAAACCCCCAGAGGGATGAGCTTGATTCGGTTGCTCTTCAGACTGAGAGAGTGCATGTTAAACAAGGCGTTAAAAGCTCCAGGCTCGACGTAGCTGATCAGATTCCCACTGAGGTCCAGTTCCTCCAGCCCAGGGAAGTTAATAAAGTCATCAGGGTTGATCATTGTCAGCTTGTTTTTACTCAGGTCCAGGATCCTGGTCTCGGTCGGGATGCCATCTGGGATGGTGGGCATTCGCTTGCGGTGGCAGACGACGGCCTTGGTCTGAGCCGAGCACTCGCAGCGTGAGGGACATCCTAGAGAAGAGCCCACAAAGGCAGCCACCAGTACCAGTCCAAGGAATGGCTGCCAGCATGAGACGACCGCGTGCAGCATGACTTTGTTCATACAGTCCACCATTCTGTCACGGTTCTGCAAAAAACACAAAGAAACGGTTCTTAGATACCAAATCAGGTTTTAACAAATCTGTTTTCCTGCAGAAATAACGTAAATGACACAGAATAAGACTCTGATTCACAGACTCAGATCTAACTCTGACAATTCAAACTGAACTAAACTACTGGAACTTTTTCCCAAAGCTTTTCCAACTCGATCAGACCTCCAACATGACGAGGTTCTTCCTGCATAAATTCAGGAGCTTTTCAAGGCATGAGAAATGTAAAAGGCTTTGATTCAGGCTACAATACAAATTTCTCAAACATTCACGGTTTAATAAAACAAGGCAGATATGAGGCGCAGTAAGAAAAGGCTGCATTTTCTAGTTCTTCCACAGATTCCCTGTTAGTTTTAACTCGGTACTTTGACTAGACCATTCTAACCCATGCCTCTGATCTTCAGCTGGATGTTGGGGATAAATGTCCTGCCTCTTCAGGTCTTCACCACATGAACCTGAAACATTTGGTAAATATTCTCTACTTTGGTTTGTCTTTCACATAAAATCTCCAGATCGTATGTTTTTTTTATCTTAATGTGACAAATCATTTTTGCAGAGCCTTCACATGAGCTAGAACAGGATCTAGAAATCTTCCGCCACTTTTCTCGCTTTGCTTCATTTGGAGCTACTTTTGTTTTTTCTTGTGATATTTTTGGTTCAGCATCCAAACAAAGAAAAACTTCTGGATGCTTCTGCATTCCCTGCCTGCCTTGTAGAAATGAAAATATGTGACTAAGATAATTAAATCTGCAAAAAGGATGAAGATAGATGTCTAAGAAAACCTTTTAACAGTGCCTTCATGATGAATATGCAAGCTAATAATTGAATAGTCTTCAGATTTATTTCATGGTTTATGGTTTCTGCAAAAAATGTCTAATTTTAGCTACAATATAAACACCATCTATTTAAAATATGCATCTCATTTCTTTTTAAAGGTCTGCTGATAATAACTACAAACAGATCAAATTATGTTGTGAGTTCAAAACATGGAAAACAATTATTATTTCACAGTGAAAGTTCAGGGGTTCATTAGTTTAATTACTGTGAGAATGAAGCTGAACGAACGTCTGACATTTATCTCCATTCATTTGTTGTTTGACTTCCTGGTAGAATCAGAAATACGGATCTCTGGTTCTGCTGTGAACTCTTCCCACCGAGTCCAGACAGGATCAAGGAGCAGGTAGAGATCCTGAGCAGAACCTCTCTGGTCCATGAAGCAGAACTTCTGCAGAACCCAGAAATGTTTCGGTTTTAATTAGAGCCGGCTGAGTCGAGCAATCAGGCTCCGATTATCCATCAGCGTCTGTCTGCCCGCCATGCAGAGTGGACACCTGCAGACCTCACATTATTTACCAACTAATTATCCCCACAGCTGAAATATGGAGTAAATATTGTTATGCAATTAAAGTATATTTATATAATATCTGACTAAACTGTAGGCATTGCTCTGGTGGAGGTCAGCTGGTTTCACTTCATCTTGGCAATGCTGCTGTATTTAAAAATAATAATCACTAAACATATGTGATTAGGAATAATCTAAACATATTCTTATATTTCTGAATATGTGCTGTGGAAACTTGCAGCATGTTAACTTGTCAAGTTGATAAAAGTGCAACAAACATAACCTAAATAGCTTAGAAATAGAAGCATTTCATTTCTACGGATGACTTTGTAAGTTCTGCAGTTTGTTCACCTTCAGTGTGTAAAATAAATGGTGACAAAGTGTTGGCTGTAAACATTTTGCATCGGCATTGATCTGAGTTTGAACACCCTGGATTCTCAGGAAACATTTCAACGTGTTGGTGAGGATGTAGATAAAAAGCTGCTCGTTGTGCAATCAGCCAATAAAAAGCCACTGAAAGCGTCCGACTTCGTTCCTCTGGAAAGGTTTTCACACCGTCTGATGGCCTCAGGCTCTGATCAGAACCCAGCTCCTCCTCCTCTCTGTGCTCTTCAGCAGCAACCTTTAGGAAAGTAATTAGTGGCACATTTTGGTGTTTTTACTTGGATAATGGATGCATAAGATGGGAAAACCAAGCAGGAAAATAATAAATGCATCATTATGAGTGTTCATGCAGGATGTGAATCTGCTGCATACTGTTCCAACTTTAGAGAATCCATTTCTTTACAGATGAATTTGCAATACTAAAAAAATACCTTAGGAAACAGCTGAAAATACTGAAAGAAGGTAACTTAAAAAAAATCAGTTCCAGAAAGTGAAACAAATCATTCAATTCAAAAGTTATTTATCCCAAAGGGATATTGAATGTTGTAGCTCATAATATACAAGTTTCTTCAGTCGTGATGTTGATGCTTTGAGCAAAAATAATCATCTTTACTGTCCAGTTCAATCAGCTGCTTTTAACTGATGATCAAAAATAGAAACATTTTAAAATGGCATTATTCATTTTCACAGGAGATTAAAAAAATACATCAATGATTTTTGTATTTTTGACTTCATCCTCACATCAAAAGCATTTATCATTTGATTTGGATCTTTATTTTGTGACTTTGTGTCTGAAGTTCTGATCCAAAGTGAAGATTTGTTCCCCTGCAGCCAGAGAGAGCAGCCAAAACAAAGGATTTACTCACAGGGCGTAAAGACAAGATTGGTTTCAGATTTTTAATAGTAATAATCTTTAAAAATCATGTTTTATTTCCTCTCCACTTCACAACCATGAAGACTTCAGTTTGTGGTTATGATGTGGCTTAAACATTTTTGTAGCCAAGATTATTCTTACTGTCTGAGACCATGAAGGAGATTCTCATCTACAGACGTTCATCTGGTCAGATCAGAGGCATCAGCAACAAAAACAGGTAAAGAGTTAGCCTGGAGTGAGCCTGGAGTGAGCCTGGAGTTAGCCTGGAGTGAGCCTGGAGTGAGCCTGGAGTTAGCCTGGAGTTAGCCTGGAATTAGCCTGGAGTGAGCCTGGAGGGAGCCTGGAGTTAGCCTGGAGTTAGCCTGGAGTTAGCCTGGAGGGAGCCTGCACCCAGCTGCTCAGTGGAAGCTGCAGTTACTCACATGAACACTAGAGGTCTCATATTTTACTACATGTATCACCTCAACAGGTCAACAATGAATTTCAAAAACAAAGCAATAAAACGTTCAGATTGGTCTATTTAACAGTCAAACCTTATATGGGTTATTAAAACAGTAAAATGATAAATAATGATTTTGTTTATTTATGCAACTGCTGCTGTAAAAGAAAAGCATTAACATGCAGGTTAGCTCAGGATCTGAGAGCAATTAGCCACGTTGAAAACAACATCAGTGAGTAATCAGAAGGTCCTAATGAGAGGGACGAGGCGGCGCTGCTGTTTGCCTCGTCCATTACGGAGACGGTCAGCCATGTGAAACAACATGGACGCCTTTATAAACCATCCAGTCTCAGGATGTGACCTGGATATGAGCAAAAACTATAAGCAGCCAAAAGCATCACTAAGGGTTTCATATGAAACAAACTGAACAGAGCTTCACAGCTACTGCAGAAGAGCAGGAACGCTCATCATGAGCTGTGCTTCAACAGGCAAACTCCATAATTCATTAACAACCACATGAAAAAATCAACATAGTGGCATGATTTAGGGTTTGGGACCTTCAGCCTTTAAAAGAGACAATCAACAGCCTCAGGGTAATAATGGCCTTCCATGCACATATGATCCTTCTGCTTGGCTTGCAGAGCGAAGTTAAAGCTCAGTTAATCCGTGTTAATTAGAGATAAACTTGGTAGATTGAGTCTGTTTCTCCTTTTCAGCCTGATAACGCTCGGGTTTGGGAATGAGTCAAAAGTGCGGCATCAGACAAAACGATCTGAATTCATCCCAGAGGGAAAGCTGTTGGGCTGACAGCTAATCCTGCGTTTAGTGGCTATAGAAACACAACATTTCTGGAGATAAGCTAACGCTAAGAGGTTGCAAAAGTTAACAGCTACATGTAAAAAAACAAAAGCAACATGGCGGGACACGGAGGACAGCTGTCCTCTTGTTGGATCAAGAATGAGGGAAAAACCTCTATTGTAATTTATTACACAGCAGTGTGTGCAATAAATGTGGTAAATATGCATACAACATGAACACTGCTGGGCTAAATATTGATACTTAAGAATGAAGCCATATTCCTTTATTAGTTTTTATAGCAGACATATTCACAAAGAACATCAATTCAGATACTTTGGTTGAAGTGAAGCGAGATGAAGAATAATTATTTCCAAAAAATCCAAAAAAACATCTGAAATGTGTCAGTTTGTTTAGTCCAGGTTCGTCATGATCAGAGCAAAAAGCTCTTCGGTCTCTGATGCATTTCTGAAGCTCTGAATGTTCCAGATCT